GTTACAACTAATATAAATGTGTATATACATAGGACAGAATCACAAGATTAAGTGGTAATTAATTTTTTTAATTATCATTAAAGTATGGTATTGTCATCCAAAAAAATAGTGTATATAAAATTTCAGTTCAACTGAATGCTTTAAAAAGTGAATTTTTTTTTCAAGTTTTGACACAAGTCGCCAAAAGAGTCGCTAAGTCGCCGAAAACGATGCCAAAGAAGGTTTGTAATTGTAATTATTTAAATAATTAGTTTTAATCAATTACTTTTTATTTATTATATTTAAATTACTGTATTGTCATCCAAAACAATCATGTATATAAAATTTCAGCTCAATTGAGCGCTTTAAAATGTATTTTATTAAAGATTAAAAATTCCACCAAGGTAAATAAATAAATAGAGAGTAATAGTAGGAATTGTGTGAAAAAATCACCTCGTGACTATTAGTTACTACAACATCATAATATGCTTGAAGTTCAAGGAAAAGAGAAGTTGATTGTGTGTGACAGTAACATAAGTAAAAGATATAGTCTTTTTTTCCTTTATGTGTAACTAATGTTTGCAATATGAGCAATAAAAATTAAACCATCTGCTTTTCCTTTTTATGTATTAAATAATCAGCGGTAATAGGAATAACATGTACTTTACGAAAGGTTTTAGCTACTTATGATCAATTAATTATAAAACAACTTTAGAATTGTTTTGTTTTTCACTTTATCTGACTGTCATTAGGTATTTCATACAATAGTTAGTTATTTTATTGAATAACTAGGATAAGTAAGGAATTTTTCATTAATTATTAAATTTAACTTACTTGTTTAGATATTTGATGAAATACCTAGGTATTTTAAGAAATAACTGAATTATACACTTTGACGGTAACGTATATATAAAGACTTCATAAAAAACAAAATATTACTTATCCAAACTAATACAGTGTTTTAAAAAAAGAGAACTATTACTAATTAAGTAAAATAAAAGTACACTCAAAGTTCATAAAATCTCGTATACGTCCTTTATTTATTTTATTCCGCAGATTTGAGAAAAAAAAATTACAGTTTAACGTTCTTATAGTTACGCCAAAAAAGGAAGGGGGCAGAAAAAGTCTGAGCTAAGAATGCAATTTATTTCTTATCTCTTCCATAAGCTTTTCATACATCTCAGGCAAAAAAAATAAATCAGCCCATTTATGTCTTGGGAATGGAACAAGTGTTTATCGAAATGTTCCGTTTGAATATCCGCTTGTTTATCGGAATTGAGTTGAATTTTTAAATGAATCAATACTTTGTCTATAACGACTTACGTTACAACTTTAAGAAAATGAAAACTCGAAGATTTTATACCCGGTAACAGCTGCTATCTATATTAAAAATATGTCAGTGATTTTGTTTTTACATCTTACCAAAGAAATTTAGTCAATCTTATTTTGCTGAGCAATCCAAGCCCTTTGTTAAATTAGACTTTAAACCATCAAACGGTCGGTATTCATATCAAGTATTGTCCAAGTGTTGAAAAAAAAGAATTAAACACTTAGTATAACTGGGATTTGTAAATTACTTGAATAAGCAAAAAAGTACCAGAAAACTGCTACTATACAACAGAAGATTACAAAAATATTCTTAATATTTTAGCTACAATTTTAGCTATACTGAATAATATTAAATTAGTAATAATTTGGTAATGTTTTTTTATAATTATTCAGTTTTATATGATAGGTCTTTGCTGCTCAAGTTTTGAATGTGTATTTAGATCAATTAATATGGCAAGAACTGGTTTATTGCCACGCCAAAATTTTTAAGAAACGAATAAATAAAACCAAATTAAATTGTCGGAGAGTATTGGATTATATCTACTAGTTTTACTTTTCAAAAATTTCAGAATTCTAAATTTTTCGAAAAATTTATTCGATTTTCTCTTAATTTGTGTAAAATGATTGCTTTTTAAAATATTTTTTTCGTAAAAAATACAGAAATTAAAGTAAATAAACTACAATTTATGTTAAGTATCAAAATTGCGCAAGATATGTCAAACTTCATTTGACAAAATCTGAAAAAGTATAAGCCCCCTAAAAATTATTCTTAGAATATTTCTCCATAAAATCTTATTATTATGCAATAGTAATGATAATCTTTAGACTTCGGTATTTTTAAAATATAAGAATATTTTTTTCTAAAACGCCATCATCCTCGATATTTAATGCTTCAAACAGTCACAAAATCTGTTGCCATTATTCTAATAGCATTATTTGTCAATTATAGGTAGAACATTCGAAAACTGTTCTAAAACTAAATTATGTGTCAGTAAACTTCAATCTTCGAAGGCTTCCTTCTAGAGGTAACTGAAAACAAATCATCCGACAAAATTTATCGTAGAGATGGCTTTCTTTAACCCATTAATCCTTAAATACAATGCTTGTTTTCCGAAATTAAATTACGTAATCCATCCATAGATAAGTGCTTTACATTTTGATAAAGCAGCTCCTTAATCATTGGATAATGGACGGCTTTCTTCTTCGAAATTTAGATCTTGCTTCACTGAATAGGCATAGCTTGGATATCTCGAAATGATTTAAACCGTTTATTCAGATAGGGTCCCTGAAATATGCGTGCAGATATTAAAAATAAATATGACATGGAAAGCGTCCATTTTTAAATCTTTCCCAGAAGTGTCTTTCATGCACACATATGGAGTTTTAATGCATTCAGAAACAAGTAAAACATGAAAACAAATGTATAAAATGTGGAAAGTTGAAAATTCTTCAAGTAAACTAAACAATGTTTCAAGAAAATAGCAATCCGACGAATGTTATCAATTGATAATAACTTCAGTATAAATATTTTTAATTTAAATAGAATGCTGAATTATATAATCCCTTCCAGGTTCATTTTATTACAGGATTATGGGTAATAAAAATTCAATTTTATGCTTATTTTCAAACATTTCTACACAAAAACATCTATTTAAGCATAATAGCAATACTCACATACAAAATTTCCTAAAAATTAATGTTAAAAAAGCTATTTAAATAAATGAGTAGTTTACCTGTAAAGTTAGCATTTTGTACGACAGAAATCCTGACACTTTAGAGTCAATGCACACTAACTATAAATATAAAGCTTAGAATATCTAGCTTTTATCGTAAACAATAAGTTTAACATATATCTTTTGCATTTACATAAATGATTATGAAATTATTAATCAAAATATGTCCGTGTATGATAAATTCGAAAACATGATACTGCATATTACCAAACATCGAATCCTGGAAAGTTGGATCTTTTGTCTCTCTTTCCTTCTTCTCTACAAATAATACACTGTCATGTTGGGTTAGTTTTTTCTCTGTTGAGGGAATGTAGTCAACAAAGGGTCTTTCAGACCAGCATGAAGGGGCGTGCTCAGCAGAAGGACGTCCTCGTTTTGCAGAAAATTCCATCGAGTTCGAAACCATAAAAAGCACGTGTGAAATGATTCAGAAAAGACAGATAGCAGAGTGTAAATTTCCACAGTGCCCGAGCTTAACTCGGGACGAGCCAGGATGGTACGTTTCGCCTGCCCGAACTCAGCTCGGGAAACACCGGAAAGGGGTTAATAAATGCCTACATAGTTTTGTTCATCTAATCTAAAATTGTTCTTAAATTTTTAATGCACCTTATAAGCGTTTTAAAAAAGGCTTAGATACGTGTGCTTTTAGTACGACAATGCTTCCTGTTATGCAGCTGGCATTATTTCTAAATTATTCAAAATGCATTACAGACACTTTGCTTAGTTGGCCGATCTCTATCCAATTAAAAATAGGTGAGATAATATCAAACGGTGCATCTAGGAGCTGGTTCCAGTGCCATCCAGTATGGAGGCATTAGAACGTTCAAATCATTGGATATGGTCTGAAATTAATCACATACCACCTACCAACAACTCAGAGTTCATGCCAAGAATAATACATGCAGTGTTAAAGGCAAAAGGGCAATACTATATTGAAGAGATTATCATAATAATTTGGCCATTCAGTGTATATCCCAACAATTATTTCAATATATTATGAGCGAAAGATTTATTACTAATGAAAATATTTATTAGTAGTATTTATTGTTAATGTTTGAAGAGATTTAAAAGAAAAAAATGTTGAGAGAGAGAAGGTTTAGAGAAAACAAAAAGTAGTCGTCCTCTTATTTAAAGTAAATTAGTAAAGTAGTCACTAATTCGCTGTCTTATATATATAAAGTGCCTTTTTAATAAAAAAAAGTTTCTTAAAATTGTATTATTAGCAAGTATTGAATTAAATTCTTTCAAATTTCCGTTCTTATATAAGTTATAGTTCTCAGATGAATTTTTTATTTGTATCTCTGTCGTATTTCAACTAACATAATTGATTTCCAGAAATATATATGTCAGTTTATAAAAACTCTGTAAGATGCAGAAAAGGATCACTGGATTAATGCTCCGGTCATTTAAAACCCAGTCAAGGTAACATTTATTTTTTCTTCTTTTTGATTTCAAACGGATAATGTTTACAAACCTGACGCCAGTCATATAATTTGGTTTGTCAAGAAAAATAAATACAAAAACAAAAATTCATTTAAAAAAAAACCCGCTTCATTATGCTTTGACGTTACATTGAATTTTTCCCCCACGTCCATGGGGATGTTAAACCTAAATAATGAATAAAAATTATAAATACAATATAGTTATTATTAACAAGTAACATGAAAAAAAAAATTTTTAAGTCAACTAACTCCTATTTTGTTTAACATAAAAAAATTATTTTAGTTACTTTTCATTAAATAGTTACAATTAATATAAATATGTATATGTCTATGACAGAACCACAATATTAAGTGACTAAAAAAGAAAGCAATTTTCATTGCAATTTCCATTTTCCTTTCTATATACGGTGTTGGACTATTTTTGTTTGTTTTTTTGCTACTATTTATTCATTAATTATATTTAATTATTCTAATAAAATTGTGTAGCAAAAAATAAATCACATTCTCAGAAATTAGGCATTCCAGGTGGGATTCAAACCCACGACCTTCGAATTAAAAGTTCAAAGATGTACCCATTGCGCTACAGGAACACAACGGGTGATTTTCCTTTCTATATATGCTGCTGGACTATCATTTTTGCCTGTTAACAATTATTCATTTTTAAATTTAATTAATGAGTTAATATTTGAAAAAACTGTATTAACATCAAGTGCATTCCATTACAAGTTTAAAAGAAATGTATTTGAACTTGAATGGATGAATAGAAAGTATTTTATTAACGATTAAAATTTGAACATGATATATATATATATATATATATATATATATATATATATATATATATATAGTTTAATTTTCTACAAACGAGAGATGAATATACATCAATCAAAATCGAAAACACAGAGACAGTAAGAAAACTACACAATGAAGGACATATGAACAATCAAATTTTAAAAATGGATGCTGCGGTATTACAAACATTTCTGACTTAGAACAGCTTATATATAAAATGATTTATAAAAAAGTAGGATTGAACATGTTTTGTAGCCAATGAACCTTCACCCTTTATGTTAATAATACTGAGCAAAAACGTATTGAAAATAATGGATAGGAATGTCTAAATCCCTTACAAGATAGGGGTAACTTACCTAAAAATTGCACTAAAAAAAAAACAGCAGAGCCCACGCTAAATCTGAGTGAAATAAATAAGTCATTGCGAAATTCTGGACACAAATGCTGATTCAAAGCATGTGATTGGCTGAATTGTGGCACTTAACAAAAGTATGAAAAGAATAGAAACAGAAAATTAAAAAGACAGTGTATATACAAACTACTATAACTTTAGTGACGCTAGAGTTATATATGAGTTAAATAATAATAAGTAATTTTATCTATTATTAGAATATGGAGGTAACTATAACTAGGAAAAATGACAAATTTATAGTAATAAACTATTTTTCTTCTAAGGAATTTTAATCCTTACTATTTATAATTGATTTATTCAAATGACTATTAATAAAATTAATTGGGTACTTCAGATTTAAGCAATATTTAATCAAATGTTTACAGCTATTTATTATTGTTGAATTTTTTGAAACTAGAAATTGATTATGTTGTATATAATTAATAACAATATTTCTGAATATAGAAACATGTGCATTACTCACCCAATGAGGAACTTTTATAATATTGAATTTAGATCCTTCTCTTTTATCGTAAATAATAGTAACTATAACACTACCTTTTAATTTGATATGTATAATAAGAAATTGTAATGCTTGCCAAAAATGTCATCTATTGTCATCTATGTAACAAAAATGTAATATAGAGAATTATTACTGAAACTATTTTCAAGTAATGTAAATATAAATTAGAAAGACAGTTGCTATAGCAGAGCTACCTTGTGGCAAACCTTTAATCTGTAGATAATATTTACCATTATAATATATACAGTTCTCTTTAAGTGCAAACCTAAGTAGAGAGCCAAATCTCTCTTTCTCTCTCTCTCTCTATATATATATTAGCTGTTATACCCGCTCTTCCCACGGGTGAATTGAAAAATTAAACAATACAAATTGAAGGATAAAGAAGTTTTTAATGAGTTAATTTTGCGTGAATTACAAATCAAAAACAAAAAACCTTTTTGCATTTCTCAGCTGAACAAAATAAAAACATGTTTGATAAATTTTAAGTCTGTAGATCTAATAGATGATAAAAAGGATTTATATATATTTTTTTATTTTTAACTTTCCATAACTCCCTTGTGGGTCGATTTTTGAAAACACCTTCCTAAGCTGTTCTCTGTTCAGCAAAAGTAACACATTCTTACAAATTTTGTGTAATTAACGCTTAAAATAGTGTAAATAATTTATATATGAAAGTGTAATACGTTAATATTACTTTGTTTTCCGCATAATTCTTCTTCGGTATAAACTTTTAAATTTATTATAATTATTTCCCGCCATCTTATTCTTCTGAATTTTATTTTGTATCTAAAAAAAACCATCGTACGAGTTTTTAATCTACAGCAATGCAATAAGTAATTATTTTCTGTTCAGAAAATCAGTGTAAATTGCTTTGAGACCACATTGAGTGTGAATAATACTAATAATGAAAATACACGGGATTGCCTGATCTTACTTTATTGAAACATTATCGTAATAATCCTTCAATTTCCATTCAAAAATCTGTTCTCCAGAGAGTACCGGAACTATTTTTTTGCATTATTTCTCTTCTTTCTCGAAGAACAAGAAACTAATCTTGTGGAAAAGTTCATGTAGCGACCCTTTTTTGATATTCTTAGTTAATAAGTATTCTGTTCAAAATACGTCTGAAATAGTAATTTAATTTTCCTCATCACTTATTCCAAAACCGCCTGCCTCTTCTCGCGAGGAACAAAGTCGTTATTTTGGTGCGGAAAAAAGATTAATAGTTTCTTCAGAAAAAAAACTAAAAACATCATTTCATAACTTAACTTGAAAGAAAATTCTGAAGATATGACGGGACTTTAAGAACGAAAAATTACATATACTTCAGGGGATATTTCATAAAAAAGAGGTTTCAGCTTATTTTCTATTATTCTCGGTATTCTATTAAAAAAATCACTGGAGGTAAATTCTACACCATGCAAAATTGGTACACAGTTGCTTAATACGTGGATTAAAACAAAAAGATCAGCAATTCACGTGAAATGGTAATTACATAAATTGGAGAGGTTTTTTTTTTTTCATTTTAGCTCTTCATACAGAAGTAATATATACATATTTTTTTATATGCTATCAATCTAAAGGAATAAAAGTAATAACACTTAAATATTAAAGAGGTTAACAAGATTTATCTGAAGCAAGAAACTTAATATGGCGCAATGAAAATTACATCATAAGCAACTATTCAAAGCAAGATAAATTGAATAACTTTCCATTTGGCATTTCATTTAATACTTGAAGATATTGTTTGCCACAACACTTTTTTTTCAAGAGATAACTTCTTTAGGCGCGTTTTGCTGAAGAGTGAAGTGTCAGGTTCGGGTGCGTTAAAATTATTCGGCTCCAGTCGGAAATCGTGCTTGGGTCGGCAACGTTCGTTTAGTGAATTGAAAACATTTTAAGCGCGTGTTTTTTTTAGTAAAAACGTCATGCGTATTTTTACAGGTAAAATTTTATTTTATGCATTTAAATATTACTGTGATGCAGCTCACTTTCAACCAATTCCAGTGAATAAACGAGAGAAGACAAAAGATAAAAAAAGATTATTCTTATGTAGGAGATAGAAGATAAGAAGAAACGAAACGAGTTCTATTTTTCTGATGTGTAACATCTTTCCTCTCGGTTAATGGATATTTGTTGGGAGTGATTTTGTGAAAAGGAACGGATGTGTGTAACAGGATGTGACGTAAGCATGCTCTACTTGATCTGACCAATGAGAGTGCATGGATGTGTCTTTTCACTACCCTCGCATGGAGGTCCAATTCTAGTGGCCATCAAGCACTCGAGCGCTTGACCGTAAATCCGTTAGTCATGATATTGGGGGACATAAGTGCGGCAGAATGCTTATTTGAAATAGGACAAACAGTGATTTCGGTGGTCGTATACATTTCTTCGAATCAAACGGTTAAAAAAAATAAAAGATTTCCTGCATTTTGTACTTTTACCATAAAACGAAGGTGGTTCTGCTCTTTTAAAAAAATTACACTCACTTTCCCTGACTTTGAGTGGTGATTTTAACTTTAACTTCAGTTTGCAGAAAGCTGAGCCGCTCATAGCTTTTAAGAATGATGAACTCAAGCTCGAAATGAACACAAATCAAAATGTTTCGAATGCAAACAATGGTACTTTTAATACTTTGAAATACTTTGAAATCACAAGTATATGTGTTATATTTAGTTATTATAGCTCTATTGTCTCCGCTCTTCCCCAAATTGAACAAAATCATTATTTTTGATAAAATATTGCATTTTTTTACTCCTTTTGTTAATTAAATTCAATTTTCATTAAAGATATAATTATTCGATAGAAAATTATTTCCAATCATACCCGATTCATATTTTTTTTCAGGAAAAAAGTTACCACAATAACATTTCAGATGTTACACATCATGTGCGACTACTGTAAGACTCGTTTCTTTTTTTTGAATATTAGACAAAACAAAACAAAAATGTGCCAAAAAATCGAATTAATAAATTTTAATGAATTTTATTGGCGGGAAAATTGCGAAAATTGAGTTTATATTAATGAAGACAATAAAGAGGTTAAGAAAAAAATAAAAGCATTCATTGTGAAAAAGTATGGACCTTTTCATTTTGTTTGCTTAGAAATTTTAAGAAAATTAAATGGCCTTGAAGGCATAATTTTTCCTATCCTTACATAATTTTCGGCTTCATATAAATTACACAAACGGTATTTGCGCTTTATCGCAACGTTATTGGCGACATTATATGAGAGGAAGCACAAGGTTGCCAATTCAGTGCGTGCGATTGGGGAATCAGGTTGGTGAGTTATTTTGAACGTTGGCATTGTTGTTATAGTGGTGTACTATATATATATATATATATATATATATATATATATATATATATATATATATATATATATATATATATATATATATATATATATATAAACATACATATTATATAATAATCTGCATAAGTAGTTTACATATAAATATTTTTAAATAACTACACTTCCTGACAATTAAATCGTATATAATTTATAAATATATAAGGATATATAATTGTTGAAACATTGACCTTAACAGAAAATGAATGAAATAGACAAATTAACCCATGAAAATGGGCACGAAAAAGAGAACTACTTAACGCCCGTATGTCGTAGAGGAAAACTTCCATCCATTGGTCATAAGCAAAGACGATTTTTCTTATTACTAAGTGAAACCTATTTTTGAAACAGTAATGCGAATATAAATATATACACTCTAAAATTATAATGACCAAACTTTGGCCAAAGGTCAGATGCAGCCCTCCACAGAATTTAAAGTACAAGGCATGTCCGGAAACTAAGAACAGTCGTTCTAACGCCACCACAGTGGTAGTATCCGTGTTCAATCCTTTCGAACACGTGTCTCTGGTTGA